CTTCATGCCACGTCAAGTGTCATGGAATGGATTCTGGCAAAAAAACTTGGCCAGACACAACACCCCATAAGCCCGACGGTGACTGTTCAGACTTCGTGCGATGTAGCTAGCCAAAATCGCCTGCCAGATTTGCCTGATTGCTGTGCCGTGTAAGCAACTTTCTAAACTCACTTGTCAGGTTCCGTCCATTAAACCACCAGTACTTTTCCCATATATCGGCCGCAGGCAGTTTTGGAGGGGCCGGAAACGAAAAAAGGGACAACTGTATTTACAAGCAGGTAAAGGTACTGGTGGTTTATATAAACACACGTATGAAACTTTCCAGCTGAAGTGAAACAACATCACCTAGAGCCTATACGTAAACAGTATGAATAGGCATGAAATAAAAGCCATGTGATGATGTGAGGTGTGAAACTCGTTCATCAAGTTTGTCCATTGAACAAATCGCGTTTGAAAAACTCCAGCAGAAGTCAAACAATATCACCTATGGCCTACAGGTGAATAATATGCTGCATGTCACTTACAAAATCCTGTTCCTCTTGTATTGAGCATCATGACGGCAAGGGAAAAATAGGACTGTTTAGTGTCCGGGAGGTGGCTAATAGGCTAGCCACAGGGTCAGCTATGTACAGGTGTTACATCCGGGCGACATTCCCTTCCTTTCACAAGGCTTAGTGTAGTCATGTAGGTGGAATGCACACGGGGAATGCTTGATGAGAAAGATAGAGAGCGAAGAGGAGAGAGGGGGTGAGCATACACGCACACTTGCACTGAGAGCTGGTCATTGCTATTGACACATGCATACACGCACACTTGCACTGAGAGTTGGTCATTGCGATTGGCGCATGCGATAAATGAATGCTTTACAGAGAACACTAGTGGTCAACTCATGTCAGAGCTCCCATACAATGGCTTGTGAACCAGACTAGAACAGAACATGATCGAGAAGTGCAGCAAAAACGGGACACTCCCAGGTGTTTGCGCTGCAATGCCTTGACATGTATGATGAACGGCACACTCCCAGGCGTTTGCGCTACAATACCTCGGCATGTATGAATAACGGCACACTCTCAGGGTTGAAGGGGAAAAGACATCCCTCTCCCTGGGATATTTTGTGTGCATCGTCCAAATGATGAAGTCGTCGTTCTGATCATCTGTGAGGTGAAGAGTGGTATCTGGAGTGAGCTGTGCTGCGCATTTCTGCAAAGTGGTGGCGGTACATCAAGTCAGCAGATGCAGACTGATAAAAGTTAAAACCTCAAATGAATACCTGCATAAGGATGAATGGATGCGGCGCCCATGTAGCACTTATCCTGATATTGACCGCTTCGTTTGGTGGTTATTTGGGGACTCTGGGAGTCTGCTTTGACCAATTGTTTGATGAAATGACACCATTTGACATCCTTTGTGTTCCAGGTTGATGCGATCAGTCGTGTGCAGCACCGGCATCTTGTTAGGTTGAAGGGATGTTGTGCAGATGACATGCATAGGGTGCTCGTGTACGAGTATATCTCGAATGGCACTCTTGAGGACCACCTGCACAAAAGAAAAGACGGACCAGCGTTGAGCTGGAAAACAAGAATCAAAATTGCCCTTGGAGCAGCGAAGGGGTGAGTGATGTATGCCATTTGCAATTTTGCATTCATTTCAACGTCGTTGTACTGTCATCGCTTTTGTTCATGAGCATGGAAATCCAGTTTTTGTTTTTTTCCAATTTTTCGTTCTTTTTTTTTTTTTTTTTTTTTTTAATCTGAACTTTCTGAAGTTCACCAATTCTGTTTTCCTCTCCTGTTCGACTGCGTGCTACCAATGGGCCTAGATCAGTTTGTACACCCACGAGCTGTTGAAATACAGACCCAAGTTCGAATCCAGATGCAACCAGATGACCAAAATAAAGCCCATTCTGGATGACCTGGGGGCGTTCGGTTCAATGATAATATCTCAAGGTCGTTGCCGTTTTGGAAAAAAGCAAAAAGAATGTACTGTGTGCTCATTCAGTGCAAGATATAACACTTGTGTTGGTAGATTCCCTGTGTGTTCATTCAATTGATTGACTCAATGTTTTTGCCCACCATTCACTTGATTCACCTAGTGCACTGAACTCACTCAATTCACTTAATTCACTCACTTCACTCAATTCACTCACTTCAGTAAAGTCTGTGAATGTACTCAATTCACCCCATAAATATGTCAAGGTCCTGGGCAACATGTTACATTCCAATCAAGATTGCTGATGCCTTGGGCTTGAGAATCAATGTGGAGACCTGCACTTTTTTTTAAATTGCAGCATTTCTTTTCGACACCATGGTATCTGGCATTGATACGGTCCCTGCTAGGTCCAGCTCAGAAAACATAGAGTCAACAAGCCAGAACGTTTTCATGGACAGAAGACCCCTTCAGACAGTCATCGCTTCCTGAAGTAGACCGGAAGCATATCCTTAACACTCTTAAAGAGTGTAAAGGGTCTCGCGGGATGCTCCCATGGAGACCCGCTTGCCAGTGTTGGGAAAGGCGGCGGGGCAAGGGGCGGGCCCGCGGGACACCTGTGACACCTGTGTCCTTTTTTTATCTTTTTTTGTCGTTTTGTGGGCTCGCTCGCGTCGTTTCGTTTTGGACTCAGGGCCTCGCTGCTCTACTCACGAGACTGAATCTACCGCTGGAGTACGGAGAAATACGTTGCTTATCGTTTTTTGTAGTTTTGTGGGCCCGCTCACGTCGTTGTGTTTTGGACTTAGGGCCTCGGTGCACTGCTCACGAAACCGAATCTACTGCTAGAGTACAGAGAAATACCTTGCTTATCTTTTTTGTCGTTTTGTGGGCCAGCTCGCGTCGTTTCGTTTTGGACTTAGGGTCTCGCTGCACTACTCACGAGACTGAATCTACCGCTAGAGTGTGGAGAGATACATTGCCATCTTTTGACTTTTGCGCACATAGATCCACGGCCCGCGCGTTTGTTTTTCTGCGTCGTGAAAGGGCGGTGGGGACGAACGGGATGAGTCGGAGGGGGTGCGGGGAGGTGGGGACCAGGGCAGTGGACGGGGGGAGGGGCAA